TGTGGATGCGACTAGCACTAACCACTGCACAATGAGACTGCTGACTGACTGGCTCACTCAACTGGTGCATGAATTGCGCACACCTCCCCCGCGCTGCGCTGCGTATCCCGGCCCGCCTACGCCACGTCTCCTGTCGCCCAACCGACCGACACCCCCCACTTCTTCTAACGCCACTTCTTCAAAATAGACTCGCCCAGGCCGAAAACTGACTTCTGCGCATGGGCCACGAAGTTTCAATCGCACTGTACATGCGCGCCCGCACGTGGTATTTTGTGGAAGAGCCACACTCAAGGGGCCAAAGAGCCGCATGTGGCTCGCGAGCCGCGGTTTGCCGACCACTGAGCTAGGGCAATAAAATATGTATATTTTAAAATGTACCTCATTTTTTGTTTCCTTCTTTTTTAGCTGCCTAATTTTTTCCATCTTTCTCTCCTCTTTCTCCAGTCTTCTCTTTGATTTTACTTTTGCTTTCCCTTCAGTTTCTTCTTTATCATGCATGGGTTTTTTGGAAATCTTTCTACTAGCTGTAAAGTCCACGGGGTTTTCAGATTGACAGCCCAGCTCTAAGGAAGATGTCACTTGGGTTTCAAGATTTTCCTGGTACAAAGACTCTTCCTCCTCCACGTCACTTTCGTCACTGTCTGCCAGAGTTTTGTATTTCCTTCTGGCTTTCCCATTTTTTCCAGCATATAAGTTCTCTTTATTTTCCTCTTCGACAATGTCATAGGTAGCTTTCTCTGGAGAGGCATTTGGGTCTTCTCTTTCAGAATCACTGTCTTGTAGCACCTTCCTGCTTTTCAATTTCTTACTCACAAATATCTCTTCATCAGAATCTGAAGGAAACACAAATGTTTTTTTAGCATTCTGCTGTCATTTGGGCTTTCTCCTAGTTCCACTAAACCTATCCAGTCATCCAAAAATATATCCAATTATCCAAATGATATATCACCTTGTAAAATTATGTAACTATCACTAAGAACTGACTGTAGCAAAGCAAATCTAAAAGTTACATTTGGAAAACATTTTCATTAGAAAAATGTCTCACTGAAAAATGTAATTACTGTATATATCTTTACAACAGGAAAAGTTGTTCTAATCATTCTGGAAGGTGTTAAAAATTCTTTTATTGTGGAATAAATGCATTCAACCAGGCAATGTGGTAGCTTCTTGACATTTTATATATTCAGTAATATAACAGAAATTATTATTCTCAAAAGGGTATAACACAACTATTTTGCTTTTATAATAAAAAATGATAAAGTTGGGCATTAATAACTTAATAAGTCAAGAGAATAATAAAATTAATCCAATCCAAGCCCCTACATTCTATTTCTAAATATAAAGGCACTATTACAAACCTCCTTCACTCAAGGGTCCAATTGTTTCATAGCTGCCCAGTCCACTGTCGAAAGGACTATCTGCTTCTTCTTGTGAAATGAGTTTTAAATCATTGATTTCTAGGTGAACCTACATCAATGAGAATACATTTTGCATTAACCAACAGGTTACAAAAAACTCTAAGTACATTACGATACACAAAGCATTATGGGGTCATCAGGCTGAAATAAGGGAAAAAAACCAAACAATTCAAGGGTTCAATGAAGAGATGACAACCCTAGCCAGTTTAGCAAAGTGGATAGATTGTAGGTGTGTGGATTGAAGGGCCTCAGGTTCAATTCTGGTCAAGGGCACGTACCTGGGATGCAGGCTTGATCCCCGGCCCTGGTCGGACATGGGCAGGAGGCAACCAATGGGTATCTCTCTCCCATCGATGTTTCTCTCTCTGTGTCTCTCCCCTCCCTTCCACTCTCTCTAAAAATCAATGGTAAAAATATCTTTGGGTAAGGATTAACAGAGAGAGAGAGAGAGAGAGAGAGAGAGAACACATTAAGAATTACTGGACATGCCCTAGCTGGTTTGGCACAGTGGGTAGAGTGTCGGCCTGTGGACTTGAAGGGTCCCGGGTTCAATTCTGGTCAAGGGCACATGCCCAGGTTGCAGGCTTGAATCCCCAGTATGGGGCGTGCAGGAGGCAGCCGATCAATGATTCTCTCTCATCATTGATGTTTCTATCTCTCTCCCACTCTGAAATCAGTAAAAATATATTTTAAAAAGAGAATTACTGGACCAAAAACCAAAAGAAAAATCATTGTTCACCTTTAAAGCAATCTATAGAACCAAATCTTTTTTTTAATCCTCATCCAAGGATATGTTTGTGTGCTTTTTATTTTAGAAAAGAAGAGAGGGACGCCAAAACCGGTTTGGCTCAGTGGATAGAGCGTCAGCCTGCAGATTGAAGGATCCCAGGTTCAATTCCGGTCAAGGGCATGTACCTGGGTTTCGGGCACATCCCCAGTGGGAGATGTGCAGGAGGCAGCTGATCGATGTTTCTCTCTCATCGATGTTTCTAACTCTCT